GGAACTGGGTCCGACGCCGAAAGCCGTCCGCGCTGCCTCGGAAAAAAGGTTCCGGCCCGCGGGGCCTCGGAAAAAAAGGTTCCGGCTCGCGCTGCCGACTAACCTAGAAATTAACTTAAACCCGCCCGAAACGACCGAAAGGACGCGGTGGTGCGTCAGCCTGCGCCCCTCCTGCCAACACCGCCAGCTTCCCCAAGCGGCCCGGGGGCATGTGTCAGGGGAGTGGGATGTCCTCCAGAGGGACGTGGACAAGCTGGGGAAGGGGGCTCGTGTGAACCTCAGTTCAAGGAGTCAAGTGCAAGGTCCTGCACCGGGGTCGGGGCAATCCTCATCAGTCCAGGCTGGGGATGAGGTGCTGGGGAGCAGCCCTGTGGAAAAGGACTTGGGGGTGTTGGTGGACGCGAGCCACCAATGCAGGCTTACAGCCCGGAAGGACAATTGCATCCTGGGCTCCATTGCAAGTAGCATGGCCAGCAGGGCTCCAGGGGCAGATTCTGCCCCTCTGCTCTGCCCTAATGAGACCCCACCTGGAGTTCTCCATCCAGCTCTGGAGCCCCCAACACAAGAAGGACATGGGCCTGTTGGAGCGAGTCCAAGAGGAGGCCACAAAAATGATCAAAGGGCTGGAGCAGCTCTCCTACAAGGACAGCCTGAGAGAGCTGAGGCTGTTCAGCCTGGAGGAGAAGGCTCTGGGGAGACCTTACAGCAGCCGCCCAGTGCTTGAGGGGGCTGCAGGGAAGCTGGGGAGCAACTGCTAGCGAGGGCGTGTACAACCTGATCCAATGAAAGATGCCCCTGCTCACTGAAGGGGGATTGGACTAGATGACCTTTAAAGGTCCCTTCCAGCCCAATGCACCATGGCAGAGGTGACACCCACAAGGAGACCTCCCGGAGGAGAAAAAGAAAACCTTTCTCTCCACTGTGGGAGAGAAAAGCGTTAGCATTATACTTCTCCTTTTTAACATGATAAGGCAAAAGGGGTTTGGGTCAGATTTGAGAGGCAGCAAGAAGGGATGCAGGGCTGGTTGGCAGAGAAGATGCTTTAGATCACCATTGTTCTCAGAAGGACAAGATATGATTTGTTTTAATTGAGTTTTTGGAATTTAAAGCAATCTATCAAAAGGCAGTAGAAGTTTAATTTTGCATTAAAAAAAATCTACAAGAGAAATTGGTGGTGGCTCAGCCTAAAGGCAGAATGACCTTGCTAAAATCCTAAGTCTATAAAACAGGAGAAAAAATGCCATTTGAGAGATACATTCATATAGTTAATATTACCCTTCACAAAGCTCATACTATCCTATTGCACCGAGTAGCTTGGAGCAATGAAAATAACACTCAGAGCCTTGTTAGAAAGCCTTTACTGTATGGGTAATTCTGTCTTCTGTGCATTCTCCCACACCAGCTCACCCCACTGTTACGTGTCGGTTTTACTTCTATCTGTATAGATAGAAGGAGATTTCCAATTGACTTTTCAGTATCATGGAGCTGTCTTTTCAAATACCTCGAGGGTTGCTACGCGGTTGCTGTATCTATATTACCACTGCTAATTATTTGGTTTTAAGCCAATGTTTGTAATCTGGATTGTGTGAAGTAAACAGAAGGATTTGTGGGAACTGTGATTTTCTTGAGACACACATACGTGAAAACGAGTCATGACTTAAATAGCTCAGCGTAATATAATCTCCACATTTTATGTGATGCCACATGACAGAAGGACAGTGTAACACCCCTGCTAATGAAGAGCTGTAACTGCCCAATTCTATGTATCCATAAACAGGTCAAAAATCAGTTTAGCCAGAGATTGTTTGTTCCAGATTCCCAGTTTTTCTAGTTGAAAGCTTTCTTTCCTTCAGTCTGACAAATAATAAAGAAAAGGCTTAACCCCTCCTCAGCTCTATATTACATCCTGAAATCCATGCCCCAGGGTAAAGTAATAATCTTTACATGGTGAGAGCACCATCGTGCCTCTGAGGATCTCAAATCACTTCTCAAATATTGAAGTCCCCCAGTACCGCTGTGAGGTATTTATGAATACCTGGCAGTGACCTTCTGAGAAATCTGAGGTGCAGAAAAGTTACACTGGAGTAACAAAGAACTTAAGTCATTGATTTTTCAGTCGTGGTTTAACAGCTAGAAAATGCTCCTTCTGAGAATAGGAAAGGAAAGAAAAAAAAGGGGGAAATGGGAATAAGAAACGGGAGTTGTTGCAAAGAATTAAGATATGCTGGCAGAGTGGTGTATGAGGTATAAGGGAAGATCATGGAAGCTTCCAGCTGAAATACATCCACAGATTGGAGATCTGTCAGTTGGGACCTCTTCAGACAATTTGTGTCTGCAACCAAGTAACACTGGCTGCTCTTCAGCACCTCATCAGTTGGAAGAATCTTTACCAGCAAGAGTGAATGACTGCGCTGCAGGATAGAGATGGAGGAGAACTGAATGTGCTAGAGACAGCCCCGCGTGTCTGGCTTTCCCGCTGCCTTTATTTTATGGAACAAAATCATCCATCAAAGCTGATCCCATGGAGGGGCTTCTAAAGGAGAACCAGGGAGTCAGAGTTCTACATGACCTGCAAACTGATTTAAAAATATGTATTTCTAAAACAAAGTCCCTTGCTCGCAGGTGAGATTTTCCAAAATACCCAGCACCAAACCAGCTTCTTCTGGAACTAGCAACAAGAATGTTCTCAATGCCATGGGAGCACAACTCGTCCAAAGCCATGCCCTTCAGATAGTCCCACATGGAATATTTTTGGTCAAAGGTTATCCTTAGCTTCTAACAAGTCACATCTTTCACTATTGTCTTTTAGCAGGGGAAAAAGCCCAAATTCAAACACTAAGCATAACTATGATCTAATTTCTTCATTTATATACAATAAATATTTCAATGGAAAGATCAAACCACTGCCAACCCATTCTTGCGTGTCCTCTTTAAACAAAACAAGAAAAAAGATGACTTGAATATTCTTTTGGTACAAAATCAGTTTTTCTATCATACACAAGTGATGTGTGTGTGCATGAAGTTACAAATCACTGGCTGTTACAAAATCAGGCCATGCAAAATTTCTTTTGCACAATGGTTCACAGAGAGTTAGAGATTAAAAAGTACAAATAAAACAAAATAAGAATTCTCAAAGATGTTTGAGTGCCCACGTTATAAGCTGCTCACGTTAGAAATGCCCGTGCTTCAGGCCAGGTATCTCTTGAAAGAGTTTATTACCCTTCTCTTGGAATATAGAAGTTGAAAGCAGGCAGCCTTGAGGCAGAGACAGAGAAATAAAGACAACAACTGCAAAACTGTGTTGTTTTTATTTTAAACATGCAAAATACAGTTCATGCATCTGCCATTTTGAAAAATCTCTCAGTTCATAGCAGATTAAACCAAAGACATTTTGGCTATCGACGCTCCATAAATATTTCAAAATGCTTTACAGTGTAAAGATAAGAAATTTAGCAAAATTTCAACAAACCTGTATAAAAACCAGATACAGATAAGTTTTTATTTCAAGGCGACATGCTGTAAAGAGTTCACTTTTTTTTTCTGGATTTTTTTTCTCATAAAAAGTTTTCAACAATACAATCGCTTAACAGATTTAAGCCTTTAGGCTACACATGCAAAAAAAAAGGGTTATTTTAGTTAAAAATCACCAAAACGTGCTATTTCTTTGTTGTTTCATTTTTAAGTACAGTAGTTGTAGACAGTAGCATTTCTCTTTTGTTAATTCTGTAAAAGAGTGCAGGCAGGTTCATGGAGCTAGTGTCCTGGAAGACTCGTACTCTGCCATACATTTGGGTTTTATGCCTTTGCCGTTGTAATAGTCCACAACTTGGTTTGGAACTTCAGCCAAAACGCTTTTTGCTAGAGCAGCTGGGGATGCCTGCAGGAAACGGTAGAAAACAGAAGTGTTAACCTGTCTCTCTGTGAGAAGCACGACAGTTTTACAGACATCGGTGCCGTGAGATGAAAATGGGAAGCATGGCACAGAAACAGAAGGCAAAACGACTCAAAAGTGAGCGGCACTATTGCTGCAAACTCATTTTTGTGAGTCAGTTTGGGCTTGTATCTGTAGCTGTCTGAAAGCACACTCAAGCCAGAAGTGCTCTGCGTGTTTTTCGAGTGCCTTCGGACTATTTAAAGTTCAGGGTAACTGAAGTTTCTGGTGCTCTGGGAGAGCACCATATCGCAAACGAAAGGGCTGCAAAGCCTTCATCTGCACTCAGTGAGGAGCCCCATGGAGCTGCAAGCTGAATACAAATGGACATCACTGCAAAAGGGGGACCTTCACCATTCAGCTCTTCAGGATCTGACGTGGTGTTTTAATGGCTAGGGAAGTTCTGAGTGAAATAAAAAATACTTTGTTTTCCTTGGAATTCAACCATGGTCATAAGAAGGCTTCAAACCCCTGCAGGGGAACTCAGCTCTTCAGCACACCAACTCCAATACCAACTTCAGCACACCAACACTTCCCTGCTCACTGTCTCTTATATTGTCAGCCAGGCTTCAAAATTACCCTGTCACCAACCAATTGCCCTACACTGTTTCACAGTGTGGGATCCTGATCCTTCCAAGATCTTAATATTAGTCTTATGTATGATGTAAATGGTAAACTAGCCACAGGCAAGCTAATCCAGGCATGCAGAAAGCCCCTGGGCTATTGTATATTCCAGTATCAGATGTCAGAATACTACAAATTACAACTAACGCTAGCAAAACCAGAAACAAACTGATTTTTGTGTGTGTGTTGGTATTATGAGTCACATACGTGATTAGTAACAAATGAAATGGACTGCTGTTGACCTACTGTGACATTTATACTAAAATATTTGTGCAGGCACAAAAGCCTGGAACATTTCTGCATGAATGACCTGGCAAAGCAGAGCTCGTCCTTTGTGTGACAGCCCAGCAACTCATCCCAGGTAGTAACAGAATCCATTTATTTTAATCCTTCAAAGTAAAATGCATGGCTTTCCACAGTAGCCCTACTCTTGCCTAAACCTGTTTTGACTGAAATCAGCAGAAAATACCCATACTGATAGCTAATATGCAAAGATCAGATCAGCCAGCAGCAGAAAAATAATTCCTGAAGGTGGTAATTGGTTTGTATTACAAATGACTGTTGGTTCAGCTCTGTAGCTTCACCGCATTTACTTTTTAATTACAATGCGTAGTGCAAAATGTCACTCCCATGGTGGTGAAGAGTTGAGTTTCCACTCTCACTTGTAACGTGTGTTATTTACTCACAGTTGTTAGCCTCAGTGATTAAACACGATGCAGAGGGGAGCACAATCTACCTGTGGCATCAAGCGTGCGCACCGTGTGCCACGCATCTCACAGGCAGAGCCCATTTCAGCTCTTGAAATGTGACCGTGAATGGATTGAGACAGGTGATTTTCTTCAGCTACACTGCAGTGACTGTGAGTATCGCCATTCCACAGCTCGGGTGAAGGACGCTCCCATTGCTGGGGCTGGTGGTAATTACAGAGAAGAAATTCACTTGGGGTCAGGGAAAATATTTTCCCTCCACTTGTTGTGTTCTCCTGCAGTGAATTGCACGTGTCGCCCACTACACAATGGGACTTTTTTAATGGTTACCTTGATTTTGTCAAGCCTCTGCAGGTACAGGATTTGCCAACAATCACTGCAATTACTATCATTATTATTCTGATAGCTTCAAAGATATTCCTTAAAGAGAGAGTGCAAAACGTAGGATGCTTTACTGAAGTACTCCTGATGTGCTGCATGGTGTAGGAGATGTATAATAAAGCTTTCTGTCCACATTGGATCCTGAGCCAATAAAACACTGAAGTAAGTATGAAGTTTGGGGTATGCGAATAATTGTAACTATTTGGAATGTGTTAAATGCCTGTATGAGTGCCGATCAGGATCAGAACCTGCTCTGAAGTCAAACCTATAAAAGAAAATACATTCATGCTATAGGTTATTTTTACAACTTCCTTCTCCCTCCTTTTCTTACAGAGGCAGCTTTTGAATAGATTATTTTTGATCTCCTTGGATGGATATAAGATTTTTGAGTTCCAGCCTGAACTGCAAATTGAAGTAATATTGTTTGGGTTGACCTCAAATGAATTTTGGTTTACTGTTCCAGCAAAACAAAAAATAATTGCTCACAAAAAACATTTTCTTCCCTCCTTCCATCAGTAGTAGAAGCAATACAGATTTAGGCATAAATAAATACTTGATTTACCAGGAAGACTTTTAAACCTTATACAACTTGATCTTTCAACTGTTTTCTTGTACTTAATAGTTGAACAATCTAAATACTAACACTAAACACAAGGTACATTGACAAAAGGTATGTGATTTTTAACCAAACACATTCACTTAGATCTGCCAAATGCAATATGCTGAATTATGATAATTCTTGTGTTTGATTGGAACTGATCGGACAAAAATCTCCCAAATGTTTTAAATCTGCATCTCTCTGGGAGGAAAAATAAGTTTGAGCCAAAACATCACACTTCTTTCTCCCATCAAAAATTACTTCATTAGCTGATGCAACAGTCAGGGCCTTTTGTTTGTGCTGAGGCTAAGCAAGAGAGCTGTGACCATGACTTTGTTCAGAGAGAGATTATTTGGGATATGACAATAAAGACACTCAGTGAGAAGTGGCTGTTGTTATGGGCACTCATCCATTACATTGGCATTTGTCGAAATGCTGAAAGATCACAATCAAGAGACTAAATATCAAGTTACATAAGATATATTGACTTTTCTGATATAGCAAAGACATTATCTATATCTATATCACTATTATCTCTGCTACTGAAAGAAAGGGGGGAAACCTCACCATTATTTGACAAGAACAATACATTTTGAAAATTGCTGTCCTCTCCAAGTACTGGGGAAGTTAACTGAAAGCAGCTAAAAGTCATTTGACCAATGCTGGCAATTAATATCGTACATTGACACACTCACAGGTTCGCACTAGAGGCACAGTATATTCAATGCCCAGAACCGCAACTGTCAGCATTAATTCCTTCAAACAAGGATGATTTCATCTTTGTTATAAAATCACAAAACGAGACTTAAAATAACAAGTACAGCTGGCTCTGCCAGTTCCTTGCAGAAACATGTTTTTGACTAACTGAAAGTAGGCCTGGCACTAGCCCATAAATAACTTGCCTCTCGACCCTTTTGCAGCAGACTCCAGCGCAGCGCTATGCACTGGTGATTATCTGGAGGAGGAGAATCACAAGCCATGGGCAGGTCCTGCTACTGTGATTCTATATGTTGTTCCAGCAGATAGGTGACACGTGACACTGCCAGCACAGTGTCTGTACCTACAGGTCTGTACCTACAACTCATTTGGCACAGCGTTCAACCTAACAGCACAAGGTGAGCTCTCCCTCCTGTGAGGATCCACTGTTTACATAAATGAAGAGGGAAAAGAGGAACAAGTTTGTTCCTCCTCGGTAGAGTTTGTGAAAGTGAGAAGCATGTCTAAATCTAAGACAAAGAGGGCAAAATTGCATTTTGAAGTGAGAAAAAAGAGGAAAATAAAATGAAGGTATTTTGGAAAAAAAAATCTGTGGAGGTAACAGAAATTCTAGAAAAAATAAAGAAATGCAAGCACTGCAATTCCACAGGCAGATCAGAGCCAACCTAGAGCTGAAAACTTCTGTGTGACACATCCAGGTGACTGAGGAGAAAAGCACGTGGTCGAGGCACCGTTTCAGATCGGGCAATTTCATGCTGAGTCTGCCCCTTCCTCTCTGGCAGACACCATGCTGGGCTCAGACCAGCCAGCTGAGGGCACAGGGAAGCTCTTAGTTACACCACTTCCTTCCTTGTGCTCTCGAACAGAATTTGGGGAACGGGTTGGGAGGCAACCAGGATGCTGTGAGTGGGCAGTCCTGCTTCGGAGAATGTAGGGACCTAGATTTCAAGAAGGAAAGAGCCTCCTGAAGAGCACTGTAAATACAAATTGACAGCCATTTCAGCTGCCTGTGGAAATGAAGGGACAGAGAGCAGAATATAGTAGTGCTAATAGAGCAGATACAAAGAGAATGGAAAAGAGACACCAGGAAATACAAGTCAGGGAGGTCAACCAAACTATAATCAGGGAGAAAGTAAGGGCTGGCACCACATGTAGTGCATGGATTCTGCTCCATCTCTTCCTTCCTCACCCTCACCCTCCCACTAACAGGGCACATTTCATCCCGTATCCCGGTTTTCTCCATTTCTGACACGCTTCACACCCACTCAAAGCTCAGCCCAGCCCCAGGGGCTGGGGCTGTCACTGTACGTGACATACATTTACCCTTCTGCGGAATGGACGGAGAAGTCAGCTTACATGTTTGAAGTTCCTAAATGGCACAAACTGGACAATGTCTCGAAGCACAGGCTCGCCCTTGGGAGACCTCAGGATCCCATCATCACCATCCAGCATCTGCATGTCGCTGAAGTCGGCGTTGCCCACCCCGACAATGATGACAGACATGGGGAGGTGAGAGGCGTGAACAATGGCCTCTCTGGTGTCCGCCATGTCTGTGATGACGCCATCCGTCAGAATCAGCAAGATGAAATATTGCTGAAGGTGTTGGACAAGAAGTGAAAAATTATCGTGAGTTAATCTTCCAAAGCTGCTTGTGCTTTTCCAGTATAGAAGTGTTTCTGGCAACTCACTCACAGACTTTTTATTAAATAGAAAAGAGCCTTTATAGGGGTTCAGAGGTTAAGTGTGTTTTGTCATGTCAGATTATCATCAGACATGATAATCCGTGTCAGTAATAGCAAATGGAAAGCCGTATCACTACAGTTTTCACAGGAACAGTTGAAAAGATCCCTAGTGAACAAAATGGTTTAGTACGGCCTCTGCAAGAGACATGAAATTGGGTAGTCTGTAGAGAATCGTGTGAAGTCATCTCCTTGTAAGAGTAACACTTTTAAGCCCTTGGCCCTGAATTTCTGTAACCTTAGTGGTGCAATTCATGTTTCCACAGTGAAGAATGGAGTGTGTTACAGTAAAACAGCTCGAAGAGCAGGAAACAGAACAGTGAGGGAGAGTTTAAAGCTGTGACTTTAATCCATCATTAAGACAAGAATAAAGCCAAAGAGAGCATTGTGCCCTTACCGAGGCCTCCTTGGTGTTGGTCTCCTCCGATGCGGATTTTGCCACTTTCTGGATGATTGGAGCAATGTTGGTTGGCCCGTACAGCTGCAGCTTGGGCAGGCAGCTCTGGTAAGCCTCCACCACGCCCTGTATGCCTGCCAGGGAAACACACAGAAATACATGTGGAGAACATCATCAGTATGGTGCTTGTTAAAAATGTAAATAAAAGGTGGGTTCTGAATGAATAAATTCAAAACATCACATGATTCACTAGGACTAACAACTTCAGATAATTTCTGAGAAGCTGTCTCTAGCTGCCTTGTATCTAGTTTGTAATATATAATTCATTACACCACGCTTCTCCTTCCCAGCAATTTTAAACGTCTATTTTCCAGGTATCAGCTTGCAATGCCATAGCTTCCATCCTTCTCAGTTTGAGGTGTGACTACTTCCTGATGACCGGACTAGATTCGTGCTGAAAGGGCAGGCAGAAACTAAAAATGCTTCAACACTTCTCTCTCCTCATCTTCAGATAAGTGTTTATTTCTGTTTATCATTTACCAACAAATTTGCCCTTTGTTCTTACAGCCTACAGCTGTCAAAGAATCCAAACATCTTTTCTAATACTTCACTCTTCTGTGCTAAGAAAAGAATTTTTCAGGCTGAATTTGCATAATTGCTCACAGGTTGAATTTGCCTATGACCAAAAGCTGTGAAGTCTTGGAAGGAACAGCAGGATGCTTTGCAGTCTACAGAAAAATGAGCTTCAGTCAAGAAGTTTTGATGGAGAACTAGCTATTTTTGGCTTTTTCATTTCAGGATATATAACCGGACTAGAGAGAACAGACTTCTGCTGACACACTTGACAGATCACAAAATGGAAATTGGTGTTTTCAATCACCGAGAAGAAGGATTCCTCAAAGTGATGCGCATTAGCCGCCCCATTCAGAACTCCCGGCTTACCAGAACTACGAGATTAGAGGTCTAAAGCTGGAAAGAGAGTGACAGACTGAAGAGCTCTGCAAAGGATGCCGAAGAATGAAATGACTTCTGTAAGACCCAGAGCCATTTCAGTTGGCACTGAGACCAGCTCCCTCATGAGATTTTACTCAGCCCTGTTTACAGGGCACCTGTATGCAGACTAGTTGCTAATGAATCCCAGAGAGTTGTAAATGCTTTACAACGGTACACCTGAACCTCATGTGAAAAAAATGATGCAGAATGCAGGCTTCTCACTTTATAGCTAACTACAAATTTTTTTTTCCGTTGTAGTGCTCACAGAAAAGAGAACATGCTCCAGTTATAGCTACAATTGGCTAAAATGTAATGTTACAAAATTTCCCTTGCTAATCCCACTACACATTGCAAAACTGACCTTTTGTTAATTCCTAATTTTTAACTTGCTAGGGATTTCATTACTTACTGATCTGGCTTGAAGGCCTCGTAAATCTTCCCTAAGATTACAAGATACACTGTAGTATTTTAAAATAGTGTAAGGTAAATATTACTCTCTGCATTCCATGCAGATTTAGAGTGGTTCATATCAGAAAGCTACTTTCATCTTAGAAAGAAACACATTCTAGAAACATAATTTCTTGTTTGTTATCTCAGATTAGTATCTTTTAGAAATATCCACTTTCCTTATATATCCAAATCCAACAAGATATGCAAGTGGCTTACTTTGTGGCTTACTTTTCTTGGACCCCATTATTTTAAGGAGAGCTAATGCACATTTTTCTTCACAATTCAACTCTGGATGTTTTTAATTGGAATCGACTTTCCATAGCTCTGATGAAATAGTGTCTGTATACATATGTGGGTTAAAGATGCATGTAAAATGTGTGCATATGTAGAACATTCATTAGATTACAGGTTGTCACTCTTTCTTGGTTTAAAGCAAAAAAAGTGACTAAAATCTCAACCTCAAGCTGGCTGCCAAGCTTACAGGCACTTCTAGGTGTATACATGTCATTTCTACATCTTTTAACTCCTTAAAAGCAACATAAAAAGTTGCATAAATACATCAAGCATCTGCAGGACTTATGCCCAATTACATTTGGAGCGTATGACCTGCAGAGGCTGGGGCAATGCAACAACCCAAGCGCAACGACGATGCACAAGAGCCCGCTGAACCGAAAACAAAAGTCTTGCATTTCAGATGTGTGAGCTCTGAATTCTT